TGAGTTGGGTCTTTAAATTTTATTACATAAATCTGTCTTGTAGCCTAATGCTTTTATGTTGATTTATTATTTCCTTATCTACTTATTAATCATTTGCTTTTTTCTTAATTTAGTTGAAAGAAGAATTCAGTGCAGAAGAAAATTTTCTCATTTTAACGGAAATGGCTACTAGTCATGTACAAATTCTTGTAGAATTCACAAAAAAGCTGCCAGGTATTTTTTTTAAATAATAAAAGCAAACATTTATTGAGCATTTAAATATGTGCCACAGATTATAGTAACCACTTACATATAGTGTTCTGTTCAATTCTTGAAACATTCCTGTTATCAGTATTACTATTACCAGGTATTTTTACATGTAGTTATTTCTCTGCTACACTGTACAGCATTCTTGTGACATTGTGAAAGGCAGGTCTGTTCATTGCAAAATGGGAGTCATCTCACATCTGATTTAATCATGTCTATTAACTACTATAGACATGAAATATTAGAGCCACAAAGCATATTTAAAATCATTTATAATAATTCTTCCAAATCAAGAGATAAAAAGTTGAGACTTCACAAAGTTGTCATTCATCCATCTATTTATTCAATAAGCAGTTGTTAATAGTACTCCATACTAAGAAAGCATATTTAAAATCATTTATAATAATTCTTCCAAATCAAGAGATAAAAAGTTGAGACTTTGCAAAGTTGTCATTCATCCATCTATTTATTCAATAAGCAGTTGTTAATAGTACTCCATACTAAGTGCCTAGCTATTACCTTTAAGGAGAGTGGTTAAAGGCCGCCAATAAAATATAGATAGGTAGACAGACATACAAAGTGCTGTTTGAATAGAAAGAAATTAGTAGCAAATTACATCTGGGAAAAACAGGGAGGCTTTAGAGAGGATCATATTTGAATTGGGCTAAAAATAAGAGGAGTTTTCTAATTGGCATGGAGGAGAAGGGACATTCCAAGTTGAGCTATCGCCTTGTGAAAAGGTAAGGAGACACGAACAGAAATAGAATTATTAGAGATGGGAAAGAAAATTCAGTGTGGCTGTAGCACAATGTCTGTGGTGGGCTTCTTGGTTAGATAGTAAGGTAAGTTGGTACCAGATGGACAAGTGCATAACTAAGGAATTTACTTCTTGTCCCCTGGATGATAATGAGATTTTAGTGGCTTTTGTTTTTTAAGAGAGGGAAATGATGAAAGTTTTGCTATAGAGATATGGCCATATCAGGTTTGTATAAGATGGATATGAAGGGCAGAGCTGGAGGCAGGGAGGATCAGGTTAGTATGCCACCACACAAGACCAGGCGGGAGGGCTTGAAATAAAGCAATACAGCAATGGGAGAGGGAAGAAGAAACAAAATGAAGAGAGATTCAAAGACTGATAGGGATTTATGAACAATCGCATGTGTTAGGTGAGGGAGAGAGACTTATCCATAGTCATTCTGATGGTGCCAATACAGGAGTCTTAGCTCCTGGACTCAAATTCTTTCTGCCACATTATCGATGCTGTTTAAGCCAATAGGTTTAAGTTTTTTCAGTGTTTTTAAAAAATATTAGCACATTAGAATCCCATGGTCTAGAAGAGTATATTAAATACCTTGTATGGTAGCATAACATTGTAATATTAAATTCCAGAAGGTAACTTCTGACATAGGATTTTAATTAGGCATGTTAATTTGCCTTCTTTTTGAGAGTATTATGCTATTATTTTATTAAATATGTCACAGATAGACATAAGCCTACATAAAACTCATAAATGTGGTAAGAAAGTTCTTGCTATCATTGAAACATTAATATACTCTCATTTCGTTATTAGCAATGAAAGAAAAACTTAATTCATTACATGCTAATTAAGCTGAAGGCAATCTTGATCAAAAACAAGATTACACAAAAGTAAAAAATGTGGGGGGAGAATTGGGAAAGGGAGAAATATAGTGGTTTTGGTTATGAATATTTGGTTATATATATATGAAAGGTTTTTTAGCTCATGTGGTCAGTTGGTCTTGAATCAAAAAATAATTGAAGACAAAATTTTATTATAGGAAGGCAGATTATCTGAAAGCAATGACAATATCTTAACATCTCTTCATTCCCAGTACCTAGCCTAGTTCCTGAAGGAAAGAGTACAATTAATGTGTGTTCAATGAGGAAAGCAGAAGGAAAAAATTTAAAATACAGAAGGAAATAAAAGGCAAAAAAAAAAAAAAACACCCTTGAGAAGGAAAATATTTTATTTAACAATAATTATAAAAATAAAAAACATTATTAAAAATAGTAATAACAGTGATATAATATCACTACTTAAAGGGTATTTTGTGAAAAATGATTTGAATCATTCCATTCAGTAGTTCATTGAACATATCGTGTGCCAGGCACTGTCCAGGGTGCTGGAGACCCGGAGGAGAATAAGGCATGTCTCCTGCCCTCAAAGGGGCTCTTAGATTCTCTAGGATAGTGACTCTTAATCCCTAGCATAGCTTTCTTCTCTAAACTCCCACTCCTATTTAATTCTTTCCTAAGCCACTTACACCCTGATGGCATTATTTAGCCCTATTCATGTGTGCGTGTGTGTGCGCTTATGTGTACCAGCAAGCACACAAGCTTGTGTTTTGTTTCCTATTCATTCAGTCACTTAATTATTCAATAAATATTTCAAATAAAGCACTGGGGATACATAAATAGACAAAACAGAGTAAGACTCTGTCCCCAAGAAGTTTACACTTGAGTAGAGGTGGCAGACAATTAACAAATAAGCAAATAAATCTAAAATACATGTCAGGTAATAATAAGTTCTATGGACAGAAATGAAGCAGATAGGAACTAGTGAGTGCTGGGGAGTACTATTTTAGTTAGGGTAACCTTGGAGCAGAGACTGATTGCAGTGATGGAGTGGGGATATCTGGGAAGAACATTCATGCAGGCCTGTGTATTCACAGCAGAGCCAGGGGGTCAGTGTGGCTGGAGCACAGGGAGTGGGGGGAAGGGCAAGTAAGAAATGAAGTTAGTGAGGCTGTTGGGGGCTGTACCACATAAGCCTGGATAAAAATTTGGGATTTTTCAGACAGTTTTATAGTCCTTCAGGTTGGCAATTCATTCCACATTTCTCTGATTTCCCCCACTCTGCATGGTGCATTCCTGAGTTCAGAGCAGTTGCCTCAACATGACATTGATTGTTTTTTGGGTGGTGGTGGGGAATGCTACCCATTCTCTAGATTGACTAAAGACTCATGAATAAGCCCTCATGAGTCAGCCAAATATTCCGGGAGCACATAAATTTTTTTTTCTCGCTTGTGGATTCTTCTTTCCTGCAGAGTGGATCCCATAACACCAGGTATGACTAAGATAATGGCTCAAAGAGTCTGCTTGCCTCCAGTTTTTGAGGGTTGCTTCATCTGAATCAGTCTGTCTCTGCCATAATATATGTATTTGGTATGGACTTAACATCTCCTTTTGCCTAACCTGCTTATTCAATCCTACTCAACAAAGATAGAAGTTCGTTTCTATTTGGGGGATTATAATAGATACTTATTGACTCAACTTGGCCACCCAATTGTACAACAATTACAGAATCACTTTATAGAAATGTTTTATCAATAGTGATGATGAGATACTGGTATACCTATACACTTCTGTGATACTGACTTGGTTATCATCTTTACCCAGGATTTCAGACTTTGGACCATGAAGATCAGATTGCTCTGCTGAAAGGGTCTGCAGTTGAAGCTATGTTCCTGCGTTCAGCTGAGATTTTCAATAAGAAACTTCCAGCTGGACATGCTGACCTATTGGAAGAAAGAATTCGAAAGTGTGGTAAGTGATTTGGTTAATGGTAAAAGAGTTCACTTCTGCAAGTAAAAATTGGTACACCCCATGAAGGCAGGGCTCTTGTGTGTCTTATGTAACATTATATTCCCATTGTGCCTGGCATGGAGAATGTCTCTAAAAAGATATTTTGCTCAATAGGTGTGACTTTTAGAGGCTTGTTTCAAAGATCTCTGTTGTAATAGCAAAATACCAAAAGTACTCTCTTTACTGCACTAAGATGAAGGGTCAAACGAAGACTTTTAAAAAGATTGGAAAATTAGTCTGATTTGAAAAAATAGCACAAAGGATCTGGGATTATTCAATCTGGAAAAAGATTCATTTATTCAACCTTCAGGTATGAATGACTGGGTAACCAGCTACTATCCATCCCTACCAAAATAAAAGAAGAAATTACAATAGCAATATTTATGCATTACTTGCTAGGTTTCAGACAGTGTTCTAATACTTTATATATGATTTCATGAAATCCTGCAATCATACTATGAAATAAGAACTACTGTTGTTCTCATTTTTATAGATGAGGAAACTGAGATAGAGAGGTTAAATAACTTTTCCAAAGCTGACAGGAAGTCTAACTTCAGAAGCTATGTGTCTTAACCACTATACTGTACTACCTTGCAAGAGACAAAATGAAATAATAGCACAAATAACTCAGTTTAGCTTATTATAGAGTAATACTGTGACCGCAAAGGTCAGGAGACATTGAGATGAATTGCCAGGAATTATGTGCAATTTATCTTAGGAGATTCTTAAAATACAATATGCTTTTATTTTCCTGAGAGATTTCATATATGGGCTAGGAGGGTGAATGAATGAAATAAGATGACTTCTCAAGATCTTTTCTTTCTAAAGTATTATTATTCTCTGATGTACTGAATCAAGTTTAAAGACTTTTAAAACCAATATTTTAGAATAGAGACTGGAAGAGAAGTTTTCAGGCAGTTCTGCATTTGTGATTTAAGTAAAATAATTTAAAACTGAAACATTTTTAAAAGCAGTCTTCCCACAATAATTATGCCTTTTCCTCCTAGTTAAAAACTAAAAGTATAGTTAGCATCACTGATAGATTTTAAAAACATGCACTTTTAAAAGATGCATTATTCTTAATACATTCATTGATTTACTAATTTAACAAATATTTGAGGGCAAGGTACTATGGTGGCATCAAAGAGAGAAATCAAGCATGTTCCCTCCCTTAAGAAGCTTACAGTCTAGTGGGAAGAGATGAATGGTACCTAATCATAATAAAATATGAAAGAGAAGAACTGAGAGAGAGGTGACGCCTTGTTGAGAGGGCTCTGGAAAGGTTTTGTTGGCATTTGAGCTGGGTCTTGGATGAGATTTGGGTACCCAGGGTGGAGGTGCAGGAGAGAAGGACCAGCAGGAGCAAACAGAGAGAGTCAAGGAAGCTCGGGGCATGCACACAAAGGAGAGTGAGTAGTTGAACTGATTGGACCACATTAAAGGGAAATTAAAAGAAATGTCATAACCAGATTGAGGGCCTTGAATGCTGGGCTAAAGATTTTGTTATTTTCTAAGTAATGAGGGCACATTGAAGATTTTTGAACAGAGGAGGGAGAGACATCAAAATCAAGCACTTAGGACAGGCCAGGATGGGAGACACCTATTGGAAGCAAGAGGTTTCCAGGATATGACTCCCACTGCCAGGAAAAATGGAGAGGACAGAAAGGATCTGGGAGATAGGAATATATTGGGTCAGTGTTTCCCCTTTGAAAGACATGTTGTCAAGAAACATGGATTCTGGTTCTGCATAGATGTTATTACCTATCTTTTCCGGGTCTTCATTTCTTGTGTGCGTGTGTGTGTGCCTAGGCTAAGGGAGAAGGGCTGAATTAATCTCCAAGGCTCCCACCATTCTATTCTACAAGTCTTCCTGCTTTTCTTCTCTTAAATGATTCATTTTTTTTCTAGTTAGTGGTATAGCCAGTCACTCGGCCAGCTACTTAAGTATCCTAATTTTAAAGCTGCAATTAGTAACTGACTGTTAAACTTAGGAAAGAGTTGAAGGACATAAGCCGAATTTTCACTTGTATGAATTTAATTGTTTTAGGTTAGTAAATATACTTGGGTGGTTCTCTGTTTATGCAGAAAATTGTCGTGACCTCAGTCTGTGATGGACAAAGCCTCTCCAGCTGAATTTAGTCGTTTATTTGGTTCTGGCTTCCATAGACTATGGCAGTGCTCTCTTTAAGAAAATCTATGAGTCAAATCTAATTTTTTAAAAAACTAATAAAATAAAAAGGGATGATGGCTTGTGTAAAAAAATATTATTCATTTTATGGACAGAGCTCTTTAACTCTCAAAGGATCCTACTCGAGTTAACGTGTTTGGTTTATTCAGCAAGAGTGGTGATTAAGAATACTGACTGTAGAATCTGCCTTGAATTTAGACTCCAACATTTATTAGCTATACGTCCCATTTTTTAAAAAGTTATTGAAATAGACCCCATAATCAATTTGATCTCTTTGAAATCATGTGTAAATTTAGTACTTGTTCTGCAGTCTTGCCTGGATTTTGATATTAAAAACTTCGTGAGGCAGGGTCTGCCTGTTTTTGAGTCAGTATTTTATCCCAGCACCTAGCACATGCCTGGCTTGCAGTGGGTGTTCCACAGAAATCTGTGAAATGAATGAATGAATGAATGAATGAATGAATGAATGAATGAATGAATGAAGCTTTATCTGCAGCCATGAGTCTGGTTCATTTACCTAATTTCTGGTGGCTCTTCCCCTGAATATCAGAGTTATTTGTATCCCAGACTGACAACTAACCAACAAAGTTTTTTCCAGACCTTACCTTTGGTAATTAGTGTTGAGGACAGATACCATCTTTTGCATTTGAATGTAAGAAAAGGAAAAGACAGTTTGGGTAAGGAAGCTTTTCTCTCTTCCTCCTCAAAGATGAGTATTTTACAGTTTATTTATTGTTTTGATTAAAAAAGGAGTACAATTTCTGCCACCATGCTGATCTGACACCTGTGAAAAGAGAGCAGGAATGAAGGATTGGGTATGAAGAGCCTCAGAGCACAGCACGGTCTTGAGAAAGTCTAAGCTAGGCCAGTGGAGAGGGACCAAGTCTGAGTGGCCCATCGAATGGGCCAGCACTAACACATCCACTATGCTCAGCCACTGGTTGGGAGAAGACTGGTGTGAGTGTGTCTTCAGCATTCACAGGGCAGCAGCTGGAGGCTGTCAGTCAGCCATGCTCCCTACTTCAGGCTCTCTTAAAGGGAGATCTGAGTGGAGCATTTCCACGGCCAACACAAAAATATCTCATTTGTTCTTCACAACACTTTGAGATAGCTGTTATGCATCTTACACCAGACCTGGACCCTGTGAATACCAATACTTCCCTCCTCCAAAATCTCAGTCCCACGTATTCCTGCCCTCTGACATTACCCTCTAACTTTCCAGCTCACCCCCTTCTAGTACAGACTCCAAAGATTCTTTGGTCCAATACAACCTCCATTCATTGACCTTCCATCCACTAGCCCTCTATCCATTGACTCTATTACCTTTTCCCTGATGTCACTTCCCTCAGTACTTGGCTTAGGATTCATAATCCATCGATACGATCTCTTCCTTGAATCATTCACTGGATATTCTTAACTACTTGTCTTTTTCTCACCTAAGAAAACCCCTTCCCTGACTGAATACACTCTCTACTCACTCTGGGCTTGAACCTGAGAACTGAAACAGTATGACTGGCTTACCCTAATTTGATGGTCGTGCACTGCAAGTCGACTTCAGTACTACCCACTTATCCCTCTTCTCTATTCAGTCTTATTCTTATGGGAAATCATCTCTCACCTTGTCTTCAAACTTCCAACATCTCTCACCCCTCAATCTCAAGTGATGACCTTGTTGAGAAAAGGTAGATTTTAAGAACACGCTGCATTTCTCAGGTCGTTGGCTCATTAGCCCCCTCTTCTCCCTTGATGAGCTCTGAGTCAGTTTAAAATCCTGTCATTTCTATTTGACTCTTTCAAATTTGAACCATCCAGTAACAGTGGAAGATCATTTCCTCTGGGACTTGTATTTGTTTATCTGTTTACTTATTTTTTTTTCAACAAGCTTGTATTGAATATTGCTATGAGCCAGGTACAATGGAGATACAAAAATAAGTAAGATAAAGTGACTTACCTCAAGGACTTTGTCTTCTTGGGGAAATAGATAGGAAAATAATAATCACAATAGAGTGTCACGTATGATTTAAGTTAGAGGCTTAGCTGCTATAACAGAGACTAAGAAAAAGGGGGGGGGCACAAACAAGGTAGGAGTTTATTTCTATCTTGTAATAGTTTGGGCATAAGGAGAACAGGGCTGATAGGGCAGCTTCACAGGGTCCTATGTTGTTGCTTATCCATGCAGATAGTGCTGACATCATCATCATGGTCCAAAGTGGTTCTCTACCATTCTGGTACATTCACATTCCAGCCAGTGGGCAGGCAAAGGGGGAAAAAAGAATGGCACATCCTCCCCATAAGGGAATGATCCAGAAGTCGTACACGTGACTTCTACTGACATTCTATCGGCAAAAACTTAACTTTTTTCATCACACCTCAAGACAAAAGACAGGGACACCTGTAAAGAGACTAATGGAATAATTAGGTGAGAAATGATGAGGGTCTTACAGATTATTAAAATGTATATAATAAAAAAAAAAAAAAAAACCTTGCTTGTAATTTCCTAAGTTTCAGAACTGGTGATTCTTCAAGTTTCAGAAAAGTTCAATAAAGTTTTCTAGAATATGATCTGTGTAGATAAATATGCATGTCTCTAGTTCATAATAAAATACTTTCCCCAAATATCAACCACATATTATGACAATAAATGCCATCCAAACTCACGTGCTGCTTTATATTTTATCTAAAATGATGCTTCCATTTATTAATATTTATGAATTTGCTTCTTCCAGTGGATTTTCAGAACATTGTCTCTTCTGCACACCATATAAAAACCTGA